TGACACAGAAGCTTGAAAAGGTGAGTTCCTATCTCTACCTCGGGACCTCTATCCTGGGGAAGGAGGGTTTACAATGTAGGAAGGGTGTTCAAAAGATGCTGGGCAGTCACTAAGTGTGACACATGTCCAGGAAATCTTTAAAAGCCCTCATCACATCCCCCTCCATAAAGACACTTTCCAAGTGTGGACTTGATAAAAATAGCTTCCAAATTTGTCTTCCAGAATCTTAAAAACATGTAGTCTCTCCCCACTTTGCATATCCATGCTATTTTCTTTACCTCAATTACCATATCAGATATTTTTTGTACTGGTGCATACATATAACTTCTGTTTCTTTCCTCAGCATTGTAATGCCTGTCTAGCTATGAGACTCATTTCTTCATTCTCTCACCTCCTACAACTTTTAATATCTTACATGAGCATTTACCAAAAAAAAAAAGACTTAAAAATTATGGGTAAGATATATGTTATCTTATAGATAACATATATCTTACCCATAATTTTTTTAAAATATGCAAAGAAACTACAGTGCACTTTGGTTCAAAGACATAATCATGACAATATTGTGCCATGTGGTTTCAGGAAGGAAGTGTAATCTGAAGTGTAGTACCAATTTGTTCTACCGTCACTTAAGAACAAGAGCTCCATATACCATATAGCTGCTTAAGCTGACAGGACTACAAGCAGATGGGTCAAACAATATAACAGATGTATACGGGGACAGTGTCATAGGATAGTGGCTTTTCAAACATAATTTGAACCACTAAAGGGAGAGGAGCATTAGTGTACTGAAGACAATGAATCAATTTCTCAGTGTTATTATTCCTATCTTTGATGCTATAACAAAGTTCCATGGCCTTCCAACAAGTGCCTAATGATGGGATATGCAGGGGAATAAATGTCGCAGTTTATATCTTAAAATGATCCTAAATTGCCTGAACTTATTAGTTAAATTTAATGATACAGGTAGTTTTGAGCATATTACACTAGAGATGATATTAGCACCTTCTTTCAGCTCTCAGAGTTCCTTATTATCCCTGAGACAGTGATCCAGGAAAGAAGTGCTGTAGATAGTGTCAGAATTTTAAATCACTGACTTAGAATGAACTGCTGTAATATTAATTTTTACTATGAGTACAATAATCCAAGAGTTTCTCTTGTTAGCAATGTGCACCACTATCAAATTCATATAGGGACTTAGAAACTATTTTTAAGTACACTGGATTTATTTCTTCTTTTTATATGAATTCTCTCTACCTGCAAAAAAAAAGTTGGAATTCAGGAATGCATCTACAATTTGTTCAAGATAAATTTATTAGAGATGAGATCTGAAAGGGATGAAAACCATGCATGCTGATAGATTATCCATTCATCAATTTATGTTTGTAGATACTATAAGTTGTTGTCTTTAATTATAAAATGAAATAAATTCATTTGTTACATAATGCCATAGCTGGTTTATGCATCTGGGATGGAGTGCAGAGAAGCAAACATATCTTATTGGTCATATGCCTGAAATGACATTTAGAATATGAAGTCAAACTGCTTTAATTACCTCCTTATGGGAACATCTTGCTGCTGGGATGACTGGCACATTTCTGTTTGGAGCGAAGAGGTTGAATCTTAAGAATGCTCTAGATATAAATCCAGTATATCTCAAAGGCCTATAGTTGTTTAGACTGAGAAATAGATTCATACAATAATAACCTAAAACTCAATAAAGTAGGACCAAGTTAAAAGCTGACTGACAGAATCTTGTTCTGTTGAAAATATTTTTTGATATCTCTTAAAATATTCATCTAAGATCTACTATTTTTCTAGTGACTAAAAATGTTGGGATCTGGTTATAAATGTGAATACATGCCACTGGGGTTTCCCTACATGAAGGTGACAACCAACACAAGTGAAACAATGTAAAGTCTTCTAGAATTCCTACCCTGTCATTGACAACAGATGCCTTGGAGTGGTCCAGTCAAGAAGGCCTCACACCTGGGTAGCTAGCTGAGACGGTGGCATCAGCACAAGTAGCACCCTAGCATAGTCACAAAGAGTCCAGGATCCCTGGAAATCACCCGGGCCTGCTGTTTCAAATATTAGATTGGGAACTGAAGCTCAAAAAAGTAAATTGGGCCCAGCAGGTGCAGATAAGTGGTTGAATATCAACCTATGAACCAGGAGGTCATGGTTGGATTCCAGGTCAGGGCACATGCCCAGTGAGGGCATGCAGGAGGCAGCTGATCAATGATTCTCTCGCATCATTGATGTTTCTATCTCTCTCTCCCTCTCCCTCTCCCTTCCTCTCTGAAATCAATAAAAAAAAAAATATTTTTTTAAAAAGTAAATTGGTTTGTTCAATATCACTTTTCAAAGGTAGACCCGGGCCTAGAAGCCAGTCTGCCTCCTGGACCAAACCAATGTTCTTTCCTCAACCATGAAGCCTCCCTGTCAGAAAACAAGGCTTTAGCATACAGTGCCAATTCAGGGCAATATATTCTGACTATGTGACTACACAAGCAATTATTCTAAGACTCTGATTAATGGGGAAAGGCCATTTTGACTATTTCAGATCCCAAACTTAGATTTTGAGAAGTTAATGTCTTATTCATTTTTTTAAATGGAACCATGAACAAAATTTGTTTTATTGTGTATTTTCCATTATCTGTGTAAGCCTGCTTAAATGAAGATTTGATTGAGAAGGATTAGAATCTTTAATCCCTAAATTAGATATCTGGGTTTTTGTTTTTTCAATTCTATCTTATCAACTGACTGCTCTCAAATATGTTCATAGAGCTGCAGAGTTACCAGGGAGCTGGCTTAGTCAAAAGAAAGTGACTTTCCCTTTGTTACACATCCTAAAGTTGTGAGATGTATTGTACCTGGTAGAGAAAGGAAGTGCATTGTGGGAAGAGTATGACTTTGAAGTAGAACAGATCCAAGTTTAAATTTAGACCTACCTTTTATTAGCTTTATAAATAGCCATTTAGCTTTATAGCCACTTAACTATTTAGAGTCTACGTTTCTTAGTTTCCTATCTGGAAAACAGTACAGTAACTTGCTAATATGGTCACTCAAGGGAAGGAAGGTAGTAATATGCCTAACTCACCTGGCACACCTGGAAGCTATGATTCTTAACTAAGGTAACAGTAAGACATGTAAACCTAGATTGGAAAAAAATACTGCCTTAGCCTTTCAAATTGTTTGAAATGTTGGAATAGCTCCTTGAGGATAAATATACTTATAGATATACTAGGAGCCCAGCGCGCAATTCGAAATTGAGAGGCACCACCCACCCTTGAGTCACAGGTCTGGCAGCAGCCAAGGCCATTGCCGGTCTGGCCCTGCCTCCCTCTCCAGCCCTTGAAGCAGCCACGGCAGCTGCTGATCAGGCTCTCCCCCAGCGCAGGCACATGGAGGCCCCTGTCGAATTGCTCTCTCTGAAATGCTGTTAACTTAGATTATGGGACAGTGAACATAGCTCTGGAACTCTGAGATGGAGTCCTGGGTTGTATTCAGGTCCAGTTCCTCCATAGCAGGTGGCTTGGATAAGGCACTCAATCTCCTTGAGTTTGTTTTCTCATTTGAAAATCAAGGCAACTCCCCAAATATCTCTGCTTACAGACAGTAAAGCCCTCTTTCATTGAAAGAGGGTCATGAGAAGCAACTCCCAGGTCCTTGCATCTGGATGGACCTGCTTTCATCTTTGCTACTAATGTCACTTCAGTGACACGTTCTTAGCAGTTTATGAGATGCTATTTAGATTTTCTTTGCACTGAATGTTGTGTTGTTAATTCTATGTGAAGCTGACTGATTTGAAGTGATTAAAAGTCTAAAGTTGAAGGAGCTCTGACAACTGTGCAGCCTTGGCATGAAGGATAAGAACATCCAAGTAAAGATGCACTGAGACTATCAGAGTTCCTGTCTATGACTTCATTACACCGACCCAGATCCAACAAGTTCCAAGAGAGAGAAAATGAGGAAAGGCAACAAGGGAAAACAATACATTTATTAAGAAGCATGAAAATGCAAAAACTCATTTATAAATAAATGTAGTATAATTTACCCAGTGAAAAAATAGCTAAAATCCAGGAGTCAACTGGATTTTATATTTGAAATGATTACATATTTGATCTCCAATTATTTCCCCCTCCATCATGTTCTCTTAGTAGCAGCAATTTTACAATGACCATAGAAAAAGCTGTTACCAATGATTATCATACAAGGGGAAATTTTTCAAGAATTTTCTTTAAGAATAAATCAGTGCAAACAAATTCAAATTCTAACGGATACGTAAGACCTGGGCTTATCTTCAGAAAAGTAGAAAATAAAAATCCCAAACATTTATTCATTAAGAAATGAAAAGGAATACTACATTTTGATCATTGAAAAATAATGCATATGGATATTATAACACATTCTTAACCAGTGATTGCAATAATTACATTTGTAAATGTTCATTCAAGTACTAGTGGCAGTATTCAATAAACATTCAAATTCCCACTAAAAGTAACACTAGATATAGTCACATGTGGACAGTACTTCTTTTGATTTACTACTACAACAAAATTTATGTCAACAGGAAGCAAGTGACCCTTAAAATATTGTCTTTTTTTTCTATAAATGATTTTTCACAGTCTGCATATTTTATCTGTGAAGACCCCAAGAACATTTTACAACAGCTAATTAAGAAAGTCCTTTTAATAAAATAACTCTTGATATTATAGAAACAAACAATACCAAACACAAGTGTAGCTTTAAAAATAAAAATAACAGGGCAGAATCGGTTTTCTTTGGCAAGAAGTTGTTAATTCCTTACCAAATGTTGGTGTGCATAGTAAAGACACTATCAGAACACTTCTTTGGTATTTACCAAAGAGCCATTTAGTCAGCTGAAAGGGCTTCATAAACTATGGTACCATGATAGTAATGTAGAGCTCATGTTAAAGTTGCACTGAAATCAACATCGTTTTCTTGATTATTGTTGTTAATGGATCGTCCTTCAAAAAGCTCCCTTCTAATTTTGGCCTGAGTCTCAGGCTGGAATAAAAGTTCTTTTATCTGTTTCACTTTGGACTTCAGAACCATCCTTTCTCTCTGCAAAGCTTCATTAATTAAGTCTCGGATTCCAATAGGTCTCTTGCCTACAGAAAAAAAAAATTTACAATACATTTTACATACAAATGCCAATGAAAAACATTAAATGTGGCACACCGACTGATCAAAAGAGGGTTAACAAGAAACCTTTAAAATGTGGCCCACATCTTATAGAAAAGGTTGCATTTTGCCAAAAATATATTATTTACCTGAAACAAATTGACTGTAAATAAAGTTAACTCCATAGCGACTGCATACATAGGACAAACATAAAACATTATGGAGTGTGAATAATCATTTCAACAGTGGTTATTTGAAACTTAGCACTTGTTAGCTGTGTGTATATTTTGGCCTCAGATAAGGTAGTCAAATGCCCTGCTAAGCAATATAAATGGCAGTATTCCAGTTATGGCAAGGCCCCTTCCACGGCCTTTGAGTCCATGAGGCATAACCCAAAGTCCCCTCTCCCTTGGCCATGGCCCAGGGCAAGTGAAACTTGGGCCATTCTTCGTTCATAAATTAATTTCCTCTGCTAGTCCCAGCGCTCCATATTTCTTCTGTTGTGTTTCAGAAATGCAAACACACTGATCATGAAAGCATTAGGCAACCTCCACAGATTGGACAAGAGACACTTAAACAGCACATTGCAAATCAGTCCACTGACTCAGCAGAGGGGAGCAGGGATGCTTCTCACGGAGCAGAGGAGCCTGCCTGCATTTGGGTCTCATTTCCTGTTGTCATTGTCAGTGCCATTCCTATCAGCCTCTTCAGTTTTCACAGTGCTCCCATCCCCTGGCTTGTGTTTGTTCTGTGTTTCTTCCAGATACTGCTGGACAGCCTTGAGCACTGCGTTCTCCACCAGCCTCTTACTGAGCTTTACCAGTTCAGCATCATCAGGCTCACCTCCATTCTTATCACCTACATTCCACAATAGAGAAGAGAGGTCACTGAGATCATATTGCCATAGAAACTCAGCATGCAGGGGCCGGCTAGTGCAGAGAGTGAAAAAGAGCAAGTGTCCTTCAATCTGGTCAACTCAATCTATAAATCCAAGAATACTGAGTTGGCTTTTCATTTGGTATTTGCAGAAGCAGATTGCCTATTCCTAAAGCCTTCAGGACATAAAGTAGTTCATAAGCCCCAATCTGAAAATACTCTACCTATAATGCTGAAATTTCCTCATTTCTGCATGGAATTTTTGTTTTTCTCTTATTCAAGGCCAATTGTTATTACTGAAGTTCATGTGCCCACCTGGAGCCTCAGACATGAATTCACCAACTAGACCTATTTCTGTTTCTCCTTCTCTACTGCCAAATGCCAAGTAATCAAAATTTGCCTATCAGCTAACTACTTAAGATCAGTAATTTTAAAATGTTTGTCCTACAGGTTGGTTGTTAATAAACTCTTAGCACTCCTAGGAAGACAAAGGCAGTTACTACTGCTATAAAATGCTATAAAATAAGCTTGTAAAGCTAATATTCTTTTTAATCTCACTGTTATCACTGGAATTTAAAAAATAGAAAACTCTTTCTCAGTGGATAGAGCATCAGCTTGTGGACCAAAGGGTCCTGAGTTCGATTTTGGTCAAGGGCACATACCTTGGTTGCAGGCTCCTCTCTGGCCCGGGGTCCTGGTGGGGCTCATGCAGGAGGCAACCAATTGATATGTTTCTCTCACATTGATATTTCTCTCTGTCTTTCCCTCTCTCTTCCACTCTCTGTAAAAATCAATGGAAAAATACCCTCGGGTGAAGATTAAAAAATAAAAAAGGAGCAAACTCTTCAGGGAAGAGTTAGGCTTATGACGGTAAACTACTAGATGTTAATCTTTTATGGCCATTTTCCTTCCCTGCTCGTGATGATCAAGGTTTAATTATTCTTTCTTTCATTTTACTGTAAAAGGTAAAGCACAAGGGAGCTCAGTCACTCATGTCCATTCAGAACCTCATCACCTTCCATTGAGCTGTGGACTCAGGAAGGCAGATGACTGGAGGCAAAGATATTTAAGCTCCTAAATATATTGAGCAAATACTAACAGATCTCAGGGAAGTTATAGAAAGCAATACAATAATAGTAGGGAACTTTGATACTCCACTTTCAACAATGGCTAGATCATCCAGACAGAAAACCAATATTGGACTTGAACAATACTTTAGACCAAATGGACCTAACAGACATATATGAACGTTCCATCCAACAGCACCAAAATACATTCTTCTCAAGTGCAGATGGAATATTGGCAAAAGACATGTGATAAAGAACTATTATTCAAAATATGCAGAGAACTCTTAAAATTCAACGAGAAAACAAAAAAAAACAAAACATGGTTAAAAAATAGGCCAAGATCTTCAATGGACCAGAATAGAGAGCCCAGAAATAAACCCACATCTCTAGGGTAATTAATTTATGACAAAGGAGGCAAGAACATAGAATGGGATAAAGACAGTCTATTCAATAAATGATGTTGAGACCACTGGACAGATACATGCAAATAAATGAAACTAAACCACCTTCTTATAACACATATGAACTCAAAATGGATTAGACCTGAAACCATATAGCTCTTAGAAGAAAACATAGGCAGTAAAATCTCAGACACTTCTCTTAGCAATGTTTTTTTCCTCAAATATCTCCTCGGGCAAGGGAAACAACAACAAAAAATAATGTGCTTACATAAAACTAAAAAGTTTTTGCACTCCAAGAGAAACCATCAACAAAACAAAAAGAAAGCCTATTAAATGGAGAAGAAGATATTTGCCAATGATACATCTGAAAAGGGGTTAATATCCAATGTTCATAAAAAACTCAGACAACTCAACACCAGAAAAATCAAACAACCCAATTAAAGGTGGGCAGAAGACCTGGATAGATACTTCTCCAAAGAGGATATGCAGTTGGCCAATAGACATATGAAAAGTTGTTCAACATCATTAATTACCAAAAAAATGAAATAAAAACCACTATGAGATACCACCTCACATCTGTCAGAATGACTATCATCAAAAGTCAACAAACAAGAAGTGTTGGTGAGGATGTGGAGGAAAAGGAATCCTAGTGCACTATTGATAGGATTACAAATTGGTACAGCCACTATGGAAAACAGTATGAAGGTTCCTCAGTAAATTAAAAATAAAACTGTCTATGACCCAGGAATTCCACTTCTGGGTATGTATCTGAAGAAACGAAAAACACTAATTTGAAAGAATATATGCACCCACATGTTCACTGCAGCATTATTTACAATAGCCAAGACATGGAAGCAACCCAAGTGCCCAATGAGTAGATAAAAAGCTGTGTTATATTTACACAATGGAATACTGCTGAGCCGTAAAAAACAAAAAAGTGAAATAGTAACTTTTGCATGGATAGACCTAGAGCAGCAGTTCTCAACCTGTGGGTCGCGACCCCTTTGGTGGTCGAACAACCCTTTCACAGGGGTCGCCTAAGACCATCCTGCATATCAGATATTTACATTACGATTCATAACAGTAGCAACATTACAGTTATGAAGTAGCAACGAAAATAATTTTATGGTTGGGTCACAACATGAGGAACTGTATTTAAAGGGCCAGAAGGTTGAGAACCACTGACCTAGAGGGTATTATGCTAAGTGAAAGAAACCAATCTGAAAAGGCTACATACTATATTATTCCAACTGTATGACATTCTAGAAAGGCAAAACTATAGAGACAGTAAAAAGATAAGTGGTTGGCACGGGTTGAGGGGAGGTGGTAGAGGAATGAGTAAGCAGAGCACAGAGAATTTTTAGGACAGTGAAAATATTCTGTATGGTCCCATAATGATGGATACATGGCATTATACATTTGTTCAAACCCACAGAAGATACAATACCAAGAGTGAATAATAATGTAAACTATGGACTTTGAATCATTACGAAGTGTTGATGTTGGCTTATCAATTATCTTTACGACTTCTCTTTTTCCGTCTGTAATCTCATTTCTCTTAGTCCAAACAATGATCCACACTGTTCCCTACACAATTTCTACCGTAATGCTGTCATTTCTTATTGGAAACCTTGGTTATGTAATAGAATTACTGATGGTGATATGACAGAACTAATATGTGTGTAAGGAAAGAAATGTATGATACACATATGAGTTTAAAATCCAATTCTGCTATTTTCTTTCTTTCTTTTTTTTTTTAATCTTCACCTGAGGATAATTTCCCATTGATTTTTAGAGAGAGTGGAAGAGAGAAATATCAATGTGAGAGAAATATATCAATTGGTAGCCTCCTGCACAAGCTCTGACCAGGGCCCAAGCCGGGGAAGAGCCTGCAACCAAGATAAGTTCCCTTGACCAGAATCAAACTCATGACCCTTTGGTCCACAGGCCAATGCTCTACCCACTGAGCAAAACTGGCTAGGGCTATTTTCTACCTGCACAACCTTGTTCACAATCTCTCCAAAACTAAATATTCCTTCAATGGGCCACAAAAGATGATAATATACCCTGCACTACTGTGGTAAGCATTAGAGATAAGTTATAAAAAGTGCCTCACATTGTGTCTGGAACACAATAGGTTTGGTAGTTATTTTATTCGATTTTATATTTGTTATGATTAAGAAGAATGTGCTCAATACCTACTAAAGGCCAATCATTCATTTACTCACTTTATTAAGTGTCACTCTATTGTTGAAATCTATTTCCCTGACTATTTGCTCAGGACCACTATATGTCATTTTGTGAAAAATGGATTTTTGAACAGTGACAAAAGAAGCAAACATTCCAAACACAAGTCTGGTACAAAGGAGTATCAACAGAAGTATAGCTATCATTGGAAAAGCATTCTTATGACAAAGATGTCAAAAGCATAAATTTTTGAACGATCGTGTTCTTTGGCAGAAAAGCAAGGCTGAAAAATGAGCACTGTTTTGAATTTTAAAATTATTTGTTCATGTAATTTATTATAATCTATTGAGATATTTTTACATAAAACTTAAAAAAGCATTACTAGCTGGAATTAGTATTCACTTGTTTGGCCAACACTCTTACTCATGATAACATATACTTTTCTTCTAGGCTGATATTCCACGGTAGGAGCTGATTCAAGCAGAAATAAAGGTCACTTTCCTGTTCTGAAGGCAATGTTCACCAAGACAGAACAGTAGCATAAATGTTGTCAGCAATCTAATCTGGTTAAATCAATCATAATTGTAGATATCATTCTACTGCTTTCATAAGCATAAGGACACACACACCCAGATCAGAAGGTTCCACAGGCTCAGGAAATCCCCATGGTTCTAGGCCACTAATAGCGGGAAGAGAAATACTTCCTTCCATTCTTTTAGATAACACTTCACACTTTTCAAAGTGCTTTCAGAAACATTCTCTCATTTGATCCTCAAAGAAACCTTATGAAGCAAAATAAGTGCTATTCTTCCCATATAACAAGTCAGAACAATGAAACACAAGAGGTTACATAAATTGTCAAAGATCAGAGTAAAGTGATGGGAATCGGTAGCTCTCACTCAAAATCAGGGTAATTAGTTCATCCAGGACACCCACCCCCAAGTGGATACTCCACAGCTCTCTGCTGCACCCTCACCCTGGGGAAATGAGGTATACATGTGAGAAACACCACATAATTTAATGATTGGTTAATTGGAAAACGAAAAAATTCAGAAGGTTTCATTCTCAGGTTGAAATTTTTATACTAAATGGATATTGATTAATATAGTACAATCCTTTTCTTCCATCTTCCGTCCATCTCTCCTTCTACACACATTCCCTGAGTGCCCTCTATTTGTGGTATTCTTGCAATGAAAACAGAAATGAACCCCACATGGGCCCAGCCTTCAGGAAGCCTGCAATTTAGGAAGGGCTTGTCTGGGTAACTGCAAAATTCAGTGTAGTATGAAGTGACTGATGAGGTGAGAGGGAAGGAAAATGATGAGGC